AGTGCTTATGTTGTCCTCTATGTGAACAGAACTAATCCTTGTTATTCATTTGAGGTGAAAAGTGGCTCAGCGAGTAGAGGCGCACGCCCCAGCCGCTTTATCTGAGGAATGAGTACCATTCATGTCCGCTAACATTCCCTGTGTTGGTGGGTAATTTATGATCGGACATGTCTGGGGCGGGAATAATTTGACTCAAACATCATCTTGCGCTCCGAGGCCTGCGGAATAAGTCATGAAATCCATCTGCTCCTGAGAGTGGGTGACGAATGCATGGCGCATCATAAACACCTTACAGTATAGTAAAGGTAGCAAAAAAAGGACTTCAACCAATCGACAGCCGCTGTTGCGCGTGCATCTCGGCATTTTTTAAACGTTTTTTTTCTAGTATTTTCTTATCAGTAGTCATTGCTTCTTCACTAATTCCGTTATCATTAATGAGTATATTGTTTTCAAATCCGACAAAGTATTGAACCGAAGCAATATCGTAGCGATTAATTTTGACTTGTTTTTGTTTGTTAACTGCTGTTTTTGGCCGCAGTTCGCCTTGCGAATGTTTCACAAGAATGCTGGGTTGTGAACAAAACTTTCGCCCCAGGCGGGACTAGAACCCGCACCTCTCGCTTTCCGGGCAAGTGCGCTTCCAAAGCTTAGTTAAAATGAGACGGTGCCTTATGGTTAGTTGCGTAACTTATAGAGCACTTGCCCAGTAAGCGAGAGTGCTGAATCGAGTCCTTTTTACCGACATTTTTGTTCGCCCAGTATTCTTGTAAAAATATGTCGTTGGGTTCTTGGTTGAGCGTATGGATTCAATGAATACGAGTTTAACTCGGAAAACTAATTGCGACATTCGAAGGTACTTTTTTCGCTCTACAAGATTTCTAGGTTATTTTCTTCAATATTACAATTCTGTGAGATGGTGCTTGAAGATTAAAGTGCTGATGGCAGACATCAGCTTCGGCAATTGCTGTTATTTGATCTGCATAAAAAAGCTGCTAAAATGAAAGTCTTCCAGAACTCTTTCAGAATTCCTTAATTTTATCTAACCTTATACAATCGACCCTGCCTTTTTCGCCCAATTCCACACCATATTCACTTCGTACAAAATGAGAACAGTGAGGACTTCGAAAGCGGACTTAATACATTATTTTATTCTATGTCCGGTGACTCCCTGTGAAAAATCAATGTAAATAAATGATGACAAGGGGCCACCATGATCGTTTCATGGTTTTCTGTGTTGTTTTTTCAACGGTGTTGTACCGAATATAAGCACTTTGATATTATATTCTGATCCAAACTTTGATTCCCATATATCCTTATAACAAGCAAATCACCATCCTCGTGTGAAAGCGTGGCCCATCATGGGGCCATTTTGTCTTGCATAGGGTAAAACCTGTTTACGTGAGCCGTTTCGGCAATTCTTCCGTTTCCTAACGTCAACGTTTCTTGCCTGTGTGCAATTTATTTATTATTAAATTATTAAATTGAGTGTTTTCGTCTGTGGGACTCGATCCCCGGCAAAGAATTCGGTCTACCTCTGGGAATACAGTGGCACTTTGAATAGTCTAATAGATACTTTACCCCCGACATGGTTCCCTGCCGTTAAAGATCGTTTCTGCTTTACACTGTTTCTAGTGGAAGTGTAACTTTCATAGTACAGGATGAAATTGAATTGTCATAATTCACTGTTTTTGGGATACACCACAACCTTTTTGAGAGTCGCAGTGCATCGAATTCTTGACGATCACATGAAGCTGTCGAGAACGATTTTTACTTATGTAGTTGCCCCTGAACCGAGATGTGATCAGTTCCCTTTCCTCGCCAGAAGAATAACACTTCCTTCTCCTGACAGCCTGCAAAAGGCTCTCCAATAATTTACGACAATGAGCTTATAGTAAGACCACTTCGACCGTACCTCCCATCTCAAATACAAACAGTATTGTAAATTCAATCGGAAAAATTTCATGTTTTACATTTCTTTACTTCGACAATTCTTTTTTATTATTTTTTTTTATCTTGTAAATGTATTGTTATGGGTCCCACACAAAGAAGTAGTCTGGTTTCCGTTTCGCACGTATATTTTTACAAAGACGACTCGGTTTACTTGCAGAGATCGAACCTGGGTCGTGTATGTGGTCAGCACGCCTTTGCCCACTGCACCAATGTCTCAGAAAATTTATTGTTGCACTTTTGAGTTCTCTTCTCCTTCTTGCTAAAGGTTTTGTTTTATCAAGTTTTATAATTGAAGCGTACCCAAAGGACATGTTTGCGTGAAAAACTGATCGAACTTTGTGTCCTCGTGTCGCCTGGTGATAGCCGTAAGTACAGCACGTGTCAGGGCGGCCATATAGAACGTGCCTACGAAATCCACACAACGCCATTTCTTCATTCTCGTTTCACTCATTCGCCATTCGTACGTGCATCACTCATTCTCGTAGTAAAAGTGTTCTGTTGTTTTGAAGGAGCGTTTCGTGGAAAAATTAGCAGCTAGCCCATCATGCGAGACGAGTGAGCTAAATGATTAAAGAAGCTGCAATTCTAACTTATCATCTTTTTTGAGCGTACAGTTCTCCCTCTTGAGGTCGGTTATGAGGTTTGACTTCGCATATTTCCTGTTAGATGCCTCCATGCATTTTTTTCCTGTACGCGGTCGTAGTAGTATTTGTATGGTGTTTGGTTTATGCAATGAATGGTGGAACCCAACCCACTATAACATAATGGTGATTTTTCGCTCTCAGACGAGTTTGGTGCCAACTGCCAGACCTTAGAACGCTGCGAAACTTATCCGTTAGGCTGGGCCAGATTTAGCTGCGATCTCTTCGAATCGTAGGCGTTCTGAGCGCCGTTGCTTGCCAGGACACCACATTTACACCAATCTCGATCGACTACACTCATTACACCAGTAATTATAAACCAATAAAGAACGATAGAATGTTCAACTTCCTGGAGCTCCTTCAGGTCGCGCCGTGCGTTTGTTTTCATGCAGATCCATGGAATTATTTGAAAGCCGACTTCATCTATACAATCGCTAATCTTGACTATCCATAGACAAGTCGTCGATTTAATTTTACCCTACACCATGTCACCTCCACGATGAGATTTTATTATGAAAGCAAATTCGCTCTCCGTGCACGCCGAATAGTTTTTATTCGTTTGTTTTGAATTACGCGGTGTTATTGTGTCAGAGGTTGAGGCATTCATTCAATTTTTCCCCGTTTTTGTAATATTCGAAGGGCGCGGCCATGCCACAGAAGTGGGGAGCCAGAATGCGTTAATTGCGATTAAGTTGCATTTTCGTTTGATTATTGTTGTCGCGATGTCAGAGCGTAGTTGGAACGTTGTGGTCCTAACCAGATTACAACAGGGCCCTTGTTCTTTAAGTGTTGGGTAATGGCGCTAAACTAGCCGAAGGTTAGAACCTCTGGTTGAAATATCAGGCCATAACCTATAGTCATTACGTAAGCCTTCATAGGCTATTAAGAAAGGCGGAAGTTACCCCATCTAACAAGAACGAGAACAGGCGAACTTCAAAGTTTTCACGTACAGAACCAGTTCCATGGCAAAGAAAGAAAAAGCAATCAATTCGAGAATTGACAACTTTTTCCACCGCTATTTCCTCGCGAACCAACGATAACTCGTTTTCGGTCTGCAGCTTTCTTCAAGAATATATCTTGCTCGCCGCATTCGGGATGCGCCACGCAAACGATCAACTCTTGGATCGTTAAAGCTTTGGCATTGGCGCTTAGTCCATATATTGGGTTGTAAGGTCTAGTTGGTGTAAAGTCATATTTTTGCTCATGAAAACGTGCTCGGGACCAAATATTTGTTGTTGGCTCGGTGAAATACGATCCGTGAATTGTGTTAATTGTGGTGCTCAATCTTGCCAATGCGCCCAACCGTTTTCCGAATCATCGACTTTTCTTCTCATCCTGCTTTTTTGACCCTCATTTTGACTAAATATTTTGTAATTGCGTATTTGAGTGCGTGTTTGTGTGTTAGCCTGTCTCGTCTCCTCTATGCTATTTGCTTCAGTTATTGGCGCAATAGTGGTGGTGAACAAAAACAAATTCCCATGTCTACTCTCCGTTCGTCGATCGTGTACTTTCGCTTCGTTTCAGACATGAGTGACCTCGAAATTTAGTTATACCTATTTTCAGGAATAGTAGATGCCTACCGTATCGCTAGAACTGAGACGAACGTCAATGACGATTTAGTGGGACGCATCGAAGTGTCCGGTGTTCATATTACGGGTATTGTGTGTACGCATTCTGTGTACGCTCGAACGATAAACAGCGTGCGAGCATGAGCGACGAATTGACGTCGGAAATCGTGCAGCTCATCGCGGCTGCACGTACTGCTGTTGGAGAATCATCAGAGGCCGGTGACGTCAAACCACGTCCAATCGAGAAGGTTCAGCCGAACATTGTGCACATTGAGGTGGGCCCGTTTGTGGATTTGTAAAATTTGTTCACAGTTATAGATTTTTGTAGGAAAAATCAAACAGAAAACGTTGAATCCTTGCCAGATATAAGGCGCTGATGTTTTTTTAAACCGCGAAATTTAACGCTATCTGTAGATTAAAGTGGAGGAATCGAAACTTGGGACGGGCAAGGCCCGGGGAATCAATAGAGGAGTGGTGATTATGGGAGATCCAGGACTTCGAGAGCTAGGCTCAATTAGCACATAACGGCGATGTGGTCCGGTATGGGTCACACTTTGCAGGCGCGTGGGACGACGTGGTGCGATATTGTGCCATACCCACCTTATCCATTTTTCCGCTTATTTTTCTTTCCAGTCTTGGTATACATGTCTATATTGTTCTTTTATATTAGGAGCCCACTTCGTTTCACCTTTTGGGCTTCTTGCTGCGACAGCGTGATGCGATATCGAGTCACGGTGACCGCCCTCGCAAAAGTGCACCCGATCTCGTGGCCGGGTAGCAAAAATGCACACTTTTAGTGTAAAGGGTTGAATGCGCTAAGTTTGCCGTTTGAGTTCCGTCGAAATTGAATGTGGCAGCTAAATTCTATTAGAAGTTAAGAATATGGGAGTGGTGAAATGACAGACGTATGGACAGGAAAAGGGGAAATTGGAGGTCGCGTTGCCTATTTTTGCACTTTTTATGTGTTTTATTTTATTTGAAATTCGTTTACATTTTCACGAAAACCGAGTTTTTAGACAATCATTGTGCACTCATCATGTGGCGAGAACTGTTCACGTGCAATTCCGATTGAGTTGTGGACGATTCGACGTGAATGGAATTCACAACAGACGGTAACCTTCTTTGGATTTTTCTCTTTCAGAAGTCTTCAAAAATTTTATGTTCTAGTTACCTTAGCCAGGAGAAAGTTGATAACATTTTTTTCACCATTTCTTCAAAAATTTTATTTCGGAAGCTTATTTGAGACCTTCAAAATCAATCGTTCTTTTTTTCAAGGGTCTCGCTCCGTTGTTTCTAAAGAACGCGATCAGATCTCATCTTCATTTTTCGCAGCTGAATGCATGGATTTCTACGCTGAACGGTCGCATGCCTGACGGTGTCAGCTGCACATACAGGTTGGAAATAGTATTAGTAATGAATGAATGAATACAATTAACCAGTAGCTATAGGAGTAATGGATAGCTGAGTGGTTTAGAGTAGGCTTACATGTACACTTTAACCCATTCGCGACCAGGGTCACACGTGCAATCTCTGGCGAGGCAATATTCTACCTTGCAAAAACTGTCAAAGCCGTACCGTTACCAGGGTCAGGCTCAAGTTTACAGATCGACTTTTAGTGGTTCCACTTTTGAAAAGAGCGAAAGATCATGTTGAGGGCTGTGATAATCTGGGGGTGATTCGATGCAACCTCTCCCCCTCACTGCAGTTCTACAGTCGTTTCCAGTAGAGGGCAGGGACTTGGTGACCTTTGAAAGGATAAAGGTAAACGTGAATGGTTAGGCTCTCCTCGGATAGACAATCTTTTCAGCGTCGCGCACGTATTTTTCTCCCATTAACAATCATAGTCACATTTCAAAATGTCACCACTTCCTCTCCACAAAGTGGTTTGGCCTTCGTTGGACTACCTGTGGAACCAGCCGATGTAGGAGCCAGTATTTTTATTTCTACAGACATATCCTACCAAATAGCCGACCCCGGAATAAGGGAACGCCTGGTTGGCTCATTAACGAAAGAAAAACCATGTATGGAAAAACATAATAGATCGGTTCTTCTGCTCTTCCTGCAGACGAACCTTAATATTTCCCCTTATTTTTGAAAACGTGTTTTGATCACTATCGCCTGGGGGGGGGGCCCGGGATGGGTGTGGGGGGGGGTGTGGGGGGGGGGTGGTGGGGTGGGGTGGGGGGTGTTGGGTGTTTTTTTTTTTTTTTTTTTTTTTTTTTTTTTTTTTTTTTTTTTTTTTTTTTTTTTTTTTTTTTTTTTTTTTTTTTTTTTTTTTTTTTTTTTTTTTTTTTTTTTTTTTTTTTTTTTTTTTTTTCTCTTTTTTTATTTTCCCTTCTCTCTATTCCACTTTTCTTTCTCCCTCCTCATACCCGTCGTTAGTTGATGCATGCTCTAACTTGTGCTTTTATTGAAAAATGTGTTACATTACGTAGAAACTCTAAGTCATGAATCATGCGCAGTACCTGGATCTGCGTGATGACCGAACATCATTTCCTCGTGTGTCGTATGGTATCGGAAGCAAAAGTATTCTAGTCGCCCTCCGGTCACAATACTGTAAATCAGAACGTATGCCGGTGCCTGTAGGACTTTGCCTTACACTTGGGTTAGTTCGATTTTTATGTGCATTCGTTTTCTCGTAGTTTCATTCCCATAAGATTGTCGCAAAAGTCTTATATTGATTGTACACACAAACAAATCGTTTCTCAAAAGCGATTTCCGATTCAAAGGAATCTTCCGCGGAAAAAGCTCCGCCTCCATTACCACAGAAAAACGATACCCCTTAGGCCCCTAGCCTCATGAGCATAGCAAAAAGAACGGAACATAAGCGTTAGTTTCGATAATACTAATCCTACACACAAGACAAAATGATCACTCTTTCCGTGGAAGATTCCTTTAAGGTATCGTTTTCTGTGGTAATGAGGGCGGAGCTTTTTCCGTGGAAGATTCCTTAATGGTGAGGAAGTTGCATAGCTCCTCTCCTGGCAATATGTCACCATCCCCCGGTCACCATCTCTTGTCTTACACTGTTTCTTCTGAGATGCTAGTTCATCGAGGGGGACCAGAGCTGCTAGTAAAGCCTGGGAGATGAGATCAAGCACTGCGTTAGGAAAATTTCGGTGTCATTTGGCCCATCGGAAAAAAAAACTGATCGCTGCACTAAAAGGTAGTGTTTCAAATAGCAAGTATCTCTGTCATTTTCATTGAAGAGCGCGTGAAGAGATCATAAAATTATTCCTTCTTAGTGGCAATTCAATCTTTCCATGGTTTTCCTGACACCTTCCAGTCCTTAAGTCCCGCCCATGAACTTGTGTAAGGTAATCAAGAAATGTACTATCACTACGAAGCCTTCTAAGACGCAAAGCCCGAGTTTAGCTTCGAGCGATGTAGCAGTAGTACCACTAGAATGATCATCTCATTGTGCAACACTTTTGAATTGTATGGCGACATTTTGATTCTTCTTTTTATCACTCTATGGTTTACAGTGCTTTACCGACTGATCAGTGGTTAGTGCCAAGTCCAGTAGGATCGCCTACTGAAGACTGTCCACTGACTGCATCAACACCAGAAGCGATCGCGCCATATCTAGGTACGGTAATCAAATTCTCAGATCGTATTTGTTACTGTTTTCGATTGACATTAGTTCTGAAAGGTGCTTGAAAGGTCCCCCCCTGAAATCATTTATGGTTCGCAGTGATGGGAAACATTCCGCCATAGCGAGGTCCCAACAACTGAAAGATTTAGTGACTTTGACGGTCAGTCAAGAATGAGCAAATGATATGGCTCAGTTTTCGTTATCCTCTGTTCCTAATATCATTTGGATGTCGCAATCAGTTTTTCTTCCATTTTTATCGGTATTTACCAAAAAGCGTCATCTAACTGTATCGTTGTTCCTCCTCCTCTTGGAGGTCGAACTAGTTGATGCGGCAGTTCACTTACTGTAGCAAATGACGGTCTTGCTGAAATCGGCCACCTCAACATTGTACCTAAGAAATTCACTGCATTCGCTCATCCATAATTCCACTGTCGCTAAGCTACGGAACCCTGTCCTGGTTTCTCGCTGAGCTTTTCTATTAATTTCAAATTAGTAAGAGGTTGTAATTTGAATAGCTCTTGTTCTTTCATTAACAGCTTTATCTGATGGACGTTTTCGGCCGTAGCCGCCCTTCTTTCAGATCAGACTCAAGACTATGCCCCATTAGCTACAGTTAATAATACAACATATTAATATCATTTCCACCTATATGGTTGGTCGCATCCTACCAACGTCCGTCGCTGCCTGTGGGTGCCGTAGCGAAGAGGTAGGACATCAGGTTGATACGGTAAAGTGGGATGTTGGACTGCTACGCGGGCTCTTATATTCATTGTAGCTGTGACGGAATGATCGCGCTATTGTTAGTGTGGCAGACGGCGGGCTTTCCTCTCGCTCCTCTCGCACGTAGCTCTGGCCTATATTTCTATCAGCTTCATCGCTATCTTCATTTCCTCCTTATTATTAATCGGTGGTGCACACTACCTTATTTCCAGTGCTTCCCTTATCTTTCGCTCGCCGCGTCAGTCACATTTCTGTTGAGGATAGCAACAATCTGTCTCTAAGGTGTTCGTGGATGCACATGCATAGCGCGTGTTAAAGATATTGACTGTGTTTGGACGCCACTCCTGGGCTGCTTAGCAATTTTTTCGTCAGTTATGCTGTGGGTAGGCCAAGTTAGAAAGTAGTGGCATCTGTCTTTCCTTAAAGAGACATTTTATCTCGTTAATTTGCTCAGTTACTTTAGTTGCTGATAAGCCAGTACAAATGTTCATGGTACGATTTTTAGGATTAATGTTTAATGTCGACCAGGCCGGCGTGCGGGTTTACAGAGAAATCACAATAAAATTGTTTCAGTTTCAGTCTAAAGCATAAACCGCGTCCGTCACAGTCACCACCCGGTCCAGATGGCCCCTCGCCGAAATTCTCTGCCATTGCGGGTATCGATGATGAGGTAATAGTTATCTAGCTGTCTGCGAGCCATTCCTTGACATAAAATTACTTTTAAGCGGCCTGCTCGCCGAGTACTGTCGGCCTGCACTTTGTCGCCGCAAGAGCAAAGTCGGTACGACTCCCATGAAATCGACATCTTGGCAAATCGTCTACAAACGATCCAAGGTGAACGAGGACGTCAACGGACGAAAAGCGGCGGATCATTATTCAATAAAGTAATTATGATTCCAGTTTTATTGTGGTGATTTAAAAAAGATATAAGGAAATCTTTTAAGATCACTGGACTGCCATTACACTCAAGTCCTGCACCTTTATCTCGTCAAAGAAAGTACGCTTTCTGAAGACGATTTTGCCTGTACTGCAAGAATACTTCTCGAATATTCTGTTTCCAGTAGCCTATCTGCTTCCGATATCGTACTGCCAGAAACACGCCTTCAACGCCATCAACCGGGCAGTCTTTTGGGAAATTTTGAAGAGAGCGCCCTCAACGGTCGACTGGATCCAGTGAAAAGACTCGACGGTTTCAAATTGCAATTAGGTTGGTTGTCATGAGTTCTGGATTCTCAGTCTTGAGATAGGTCACTCTTTGGCAGTGTGCTCTATATTATGTGACCATGGAATTTAACCGTGAACTTGAAAAATCGAGTTAGGCACCTGGTCCAGGGCGTCGCGCGCTTCTCAGAACGGTTTTTTGCATGGTGCGAGTGTGCGTACATGTTATACAGAAAAAATTTCTCGTTAACTCGGGGGGGGGGGAGGGTTGGTTAGGAGCGGGTTAGAGAAGGTGAAAAATGAGTGTGAAGTGTTCCTTTGAAATGCAGTTCTGCTTCTACTGGTCAGCAATCAAAGGCGGTCGGACTTTTCGCGATCACCGGGGGTGGTTGCTGCTTTCGAAAAGGAATTAAAGGTGATTGTATACAGAGCGTGGACAAAAAATGAAACTGCTGAAATCACCGGAAATGGTTTCATCTTCTGTGCAGTGTAAGTGTCTGCAAAACGGACAGAGATGAACTTTGAGAGAATGAACTGACGAGAGATTGGACATGAAGACGAAAAATAGCATGGGGTATGCGCGAGACGCAGACACTAGCTCATTCGCAACAGCAGACGTGAAAGATGTGTGAGGTTTCAATGTATGCAAGTAGTAATAAATTTATCCCTTGCCACACGGTTTATTTGTGAGAGTGACACTAGGTCTGCGGCTGTGAACCCGGGTTCGTTCAGGGATTGTCTAAGCAAATTAATTGTAAAATGTGCCTTGCAATTTTAACGTTTTGAAAGTCCTTTGAAACTTTTCACAACTTTTTTGTTGGTTAACTGCTGTTTCTGGCCGCAGTT